AATCCGGAAATGGCGGGTTCCTCGGATCATTTGAAGCAACTTCTTCCTTTACAAAAATGTTCTCCGAGGCACCGTTAACGAGTTATTAACGAAAAACAGTGACCAATAAGACTCGAGTACGACTGACGCGAGGCGGCCCAGCCAACCAGCGCGCGAAGCCCAGTTCCGCTCGTTGGTTCGATCGCCTCGCGCCAGCCGAGCTCGCCTCTCATTGGTCACTGTTTTTCGTTAATAACTCGTTAACGGTGCCTCGGAGAAAATTTTTGTAAAGGAAAAAGTTGCTTCAAATGACCTGAGGAACCCGCCACTTTCGGATTGCGAGACATTTTTGGGACACCCTGTATATACAATATCAGACTCTGTACAGTACACATCAGACTCTGCCGTCCAGAGAAATAGCCTCGCGCAGAATTCAGCCGTACCTAAAAGGTAAAACTGGGCTGTGCGAACGCGCGCGCGCGCGCGTAGTATTGCCGATTCGTCGGGGCCGGACCATTTATTCTGCATCGTCGCAGCTTAGCGAATCGCAAATATTGAATTTGCGAACGTGCGCGGCCGACAGACGAGTCGCGTTACCAGAGAGTTTCCTCGATAATCGGTCCAAGGTACGCGGAAACTTCGCCATTTCGCGTGATCCTCTTCCCGGTACGTTCCTCCGTCTCGCGATACCCGAGATCATTCGAGTTTACGGGTACGCAAGCATCGTATCCAGGAAATCGTTCACGGTGTTTCTCCTCGAGTTCCTATCCGGAATCAAGCAAATATCTAATCGTGGTCGAGCGGAGATCTCCTTTTTACGGGCAGCTATCGCAATTTTATTCTCACGTTTGTGAACAAGGCTCTTACGAGCTCCGCTACCGTGTTTGCGCGCGGCGATTTTTAGATAAAACGCGCGAAACGATAAGAGCCGCCGCGTGTATTCAACGCGAATTCGACTTTCCCCATTTTCTTTATCGTTTTGGCGTGTCGTCTGCTTCGTTCGATCGGTTTTAATTATTCAACGCTTAGCTTGTCATGCTACTTTGGAGTTGTTGAAGCAATTTTGTTTATTTATTTATTCAGTTTGTACGGGAACTTAGCCATTGATTGTAAAATCGAATAAAAGAAACGATAATGAAAAATACAAAAATGTTGGTATTAATTCCTTTGTTCAAGTCGACGTCGCAATTAAACAAGAAAATTATAATAATATTTATTAGTAATGATAATATGCTCGAAGTTCTTCTGGATAGTGTTAAGTTATATTGACAAGTTGCACTCACTTGCTCCGCGTTCTTACTTTCGTCGAATATTTTTGCTGCATCAAATCAATTCGATCGCTCGAATAAAACTTTATTTGAAAAATTCGCTCGAGATATTTCACGAATAAAATTTGATTCGGTGAAGTTGTTCAAAATATTGCTCGGAATAAAATCGTATTTAAAAAATCTACTGAAAATATATCTCGAATAAAATCGCGTTTGAAGAACTTTGCTGGAAATATTTCTCGAATAAAATTTTATTCGAAAAATTCGTTCGTGATATTTTCGCGAATAAAGTTTTATACGAAGAATTCGTTCAAACTATTTCTCGAATAAAATCGTGTTTAAAGAATTTACTGGAAATATTTCTCGAATAAAAAATCGCGTTCGAAGAATTTTGCTGGAAATATTTCGCGAATAAAAAATCGCGTTTGAAGAGTTTTGCTGGAAATATTTCTCGAATAAAATTTTATTCGGAGAATTTATTCGAACTATTTCTCGGATAAAATCGCATTTAAACAATTTACCGGAAATATTTCTCGAATAAAACTTTATTCGATGAATTTATCGGAAAACTTTCTCGAATTAAATCTGATTCGACGATATTTTTTCGAAATATCTTCCGAATCAAGTTTCACACCGAAACGTTGTTCGAACGATGCGCAACTCCGATTCGAGCGTCTCCGATCCGTGTGCCGTATAATCGCGTCCGACCCCGAAACGCCGGAAATCGGTTCCTCGATGGACGACGGTAATCGCTCCAAGGAGTCGCGCGAAAAGCCGCGAAGAGAGGCGGCTCCGCTCGCGGGCACGAAAGTGACCTTCGCGTCAGCCGCCTCTAACCGTCCAATCACAGTAATGCCCTCCGGTCGGCTGACGTCACGCCGCCTAATTCCAGCAATTTCCCAATTGCCGATCAAAGTCGCCGGAATCGCAGATTGCATCTGCTGCGCACACACGCGGCTGGAAGCCAGAAGGACGCGGACGATTCGCGGGAACAAGAGGAGGATTCCCCCGGAACGGGCAGAGGGAACAACCCGGGTCCAGGGTCCGACGTCGGCTTTACGGACTTCCCGGTAGCCAAGACCGACTCCTCCGGGACGGATTTCACCGACGAATTTACGGGACGATTGCGGACTCGAGGGAATCCTTCCGATCGTTCGATCCTCCTTTGATCCCTCCGGAGATAGCGAGTTTGTTTTCCTTTGCGAGCTGGGATTCGATCAGCTAATTCCTCGCCGAAGCCTTTTTTCGGGCCCGAGGGATCTCTGTGTGCGCGCGCGCGCGCTTTCTAATAAATTTCGGTGGAAATCGGAACGTTCTTCGGTTCCGTGGGATCCTCGACTGTCCGAACTCCCGACAAATTCATTTATTTATGCTTGTAAAAGTAAGAAGGAAAGTGGAGAAATTCGGAGATATAACTTAATTTACATTTTCAGATATGCAAACTCTGTGAGAGTTCTCAAAATGTAAATTAAGTTTAGCAACAATTGAACGTCGTGTACTTTTTAACTGAATCGTTGTACAGCCGTGTATATCTAAAGTAACTTTTACATGATTATTATTGATGTTTAAAGGAAATGTTAACGAAACATCGTATTTATATATTCCTAGTTTCTGTCATTTCCAATAGAAACATAGAAGTGTGATATCTTGTTAAGTTCTTTTTAAATATACAGGGTGTCTCAGCTAAAGGAGGCCATCCATCTGCGAATCATTCTAAACTCGAAGTAACTTTTACATTTTTACTGCTATTTAAACAAAAGAAGCTGTATTTGTATATCTCTATTTTCTATTATTGTTGTTTACTATTGTTTTCTACTATTATTGTAATATAGAGGGTGTCCCATAATTATTTTATCAGCCGGAAAGGGGTGATTCCTGAGGTGATTTGAAGAAACTTTTTCCTTAGCGGAAATGCAATCCGCGGATTCGTTTACGAGTTATTAAGGAAAATCGGTGACCAATAAGAGGCGAGCTCGGCTGACGCGAGGCGGCCCAGCCAATGTGCGGAACTGGGCTTCGCGCGCTCGTTGGCTGGCCCGCCTCCCGCCAGCCGAGCTCACCTCTCATTGGTAACAGTTTTTCGTTAATAACTCGTAAACCGAGCCGCGGATTGCATTTTCGCTAAGGAAAAAGTTGCTTCAAATCACCTCATGAATCATCTCGTTCACACAATTGTGAAAAATTATACGATGGAAATACGATAGAAAACATACGATTTTGTTAAGTCTTTGTTCGAATATCGCTAAGAACGTAAAAGTTACTTCGAGCCTATAATTATTCAGTATTATATTCTGTAATCTAACGGGGGAATATCGCTTTGAATAAATAAATAAATAAATAATAACAATAATAATCTGTAAATTCATGGTCCAAGCGACAAGGTACGTACTTTCCGGTCGGAGCCAGGCTATGGAAAATGAAATTCCACTCGGCGGCTCCTCGAAATTCGCCCACGACAACGAGAAATTCGCATAAACATCCGCAGTCCGGTAATCAGATTACGTCTTGCCCAACTCTTCTCTCTCTCTCTCTCTCTCTCTCTCTCTCTCTCTCTCTCTCAAGTCTGCTGGATAAATTCGAAGTGGAGGAAGGGCAGCAGACGGAAGAGGAACTCGAGGAGAAGAAGAAGGCAGTCGCGATCCGTTTCCCGTCCCGTCGTCGTCGTCGCGTTTCCCCCAATAATCTCGTCAGTCTGGTTCGGAACGGGGGTTGGGGACGTTTCTTCCTGCCGTCGATAGGAGAGAGAGACGTCCTTCCATCTGGCGTGATCGAACGAAATATTAAAAAATTATCTAGAGACGGCGGGTTCGCGACGTTCCAGCTTCAGCGGAATATTTTAGCTTGGATGGCGCCTTTTTAGCTTTCTCTGCAATTTTTTCGCGAGAAAACTATGTAACATCTTTCGCAGTCAAATTTACAGGGTTTGGTTGTACATGTTTCGAGCACGTTTATCAATATTTCTCGGTTAAATTTAATAACATCGCAGCTACCGAATCAATCGAAATGACTGGTAAATGATTTTTTTCTGTCACGATTCGCATCGTTAAATAAATATGTTTCTATGAGAAACGTTTAGACGAACTTCTTTAATCAATCATATATTATAACGGAAACCGTACGAGGTTTAAATAATTGCAATCTTGCCGTTGTTACAAATCAATATACATTATCTATCTCATGGTATTCGTGATTGAATTACAAAAATCGATTGAGCGCAGTTCTCTGAAAAATGTACCATAATTATGTACATTTGATATAATAATTTTCAGTATATAGTAGTATATAGTAATTTAATATAATAAACTAATAGAATATTAGTAATAGTAAATATAAATAATAATTCACACGCGGGGCCCTGGTGTTATCTCTGTCATCAAATTATTTCAAATATTATGGCAATCATTTCATGGCAATTTCTCCTTCAATGTCATCCGAAGATCATCATATATCAGGTCGTCGAATTTGTCTCGACGTCGCCTACAATACAATAAAGTCAAAATTACCTAGTTCCATTTAAAAATACAACGGTGACCTTGCCTTTTCATCAAAAATCAATTTGCCTTTTAATTTAAACAACCGCAATTTCTCGTCGGTTAAACACTGACCAACTTCGATAGGAAACATTTTCTTGCCGGACCATTCGAAGGGTTCGTGAAGACTAATTCCCGACTCACCCTTCTGTACATACATTTATCCCTCGAAGCCATTTTAACTGTAAATCTAAATTAATTTTTCTGACTTAAGATATTTCCATTTGATATGACGAAGTGAACTTTTATGCATATGTAATTAAGTCTTGTAGCACATACAACAGTTAGACTTTTAACAATTTCTTATATCTAAACACCGATAATATAAAAATTATCTTGGAACGCGATGTAACAATTTCAGTGGTGCATCAGAGTGGCACCACTCGAGTGCAAAGGGTTAATAATCGCACTATCAGCACCCCTGACTGCCGCGTCATCCATACGCGTACAACATTTGATATGACAAAGTGCATTTTATGCATATGTAATTAAGTCTTGTAACACATGCAACAGTTATACTTTTAACAATTTCTTATATCTAAACATCGATAATATAAAAATTATCTTGGAACGTGACGTAACAATTTCAGTGGTGCATCAGAGTGGCACCACTCGAGTGCAAAGGGTTAATAATCGCACTATCAGCACCCCTGACTGCCGCGTCATCCATACGCGTACAACATTTGATATGACAAAGTGCATTTTATGCATATGTAATTAAGTCTTGTAACACATGCAACAGTTATACTTTTAACAATTTCTTATATCTAAACATCGATAATATAAAAATTATCTTGGAACGTGACGTAACAATTTCAGTGGTGCATCAGAGTGGCACCACTCGAGTGCAAAGGGTTAATAATCGCACTATCAGCACCCCGACTGCCGCGTCGCCCATACACGTGCAACGGAATCATTCAAAATTTTAATTCCCACGTTAATCCGCAGCAATTTCTCGCCGCTGGACCGTCGTCGAAGGAACCGCGATGTCGCGCAACTCTTCGGTCCGCCGAATAAAATACTTTTAATTCCAGTTGTTCCGAATTGGAAGTTTCGGGTCGTTACGCGAACGCGAATTTTCCCGGCCGCGTTTTTCCAGCGGCGCATCTCCCTCGTCGGCTGGAGCGGGCGCGGGACGGGTCGAAGACGAGATGGAAACACGAGAGACAAACGAGGGAGCGTGCTGCAGGGGGTGCGCGGTGGTAAAGGCGGGGTGGAGCATTATCGGAAGTAGGCGCAAGAGGAGAGGCGCGCGCGTAAAGAAAGCTCTTCTCGCGGGAGGGAAAGCCATGTCACGGCTGAGCGACGTCGGAATCGATGAACGAGAAAAGAGACGGCATGGAAGGAAACTCGGCGAGGAGAGGCTGCACCGCGAGATAGAGGGATGGAAAAGGGAATAGGATGGAACAAGAGGCGGAGAAGGAGGAAGAGAAAGGAGAAGAAGACGAAGAAGGAGGACAAAGAGGAGCAGAGCTCGACAAGGTAGAGGAACCGAGGAGCCATCCGCTTTTCTGCCGGCTGCCAAATTGAGAATCGATGTTTCCCGCTCTCGATCCGACGCGGCGCGACGCGGCCTGGATCCTCCGAGGGTGGCGAGAACCACCCCTCCGTTTCTGAGCCGAGACGAGCACACGCCTCTTTCTCTCTACATGCCCGGGCATTGTTCACAGACCGTTCGGGAAGTGGAACATCGGGAGTGGACCGGGTGGAAGTCGACTCCGAAAGTATCGGAGGAGCAACAGAGCGGCCCTGCCGCGCTCCGGTCGGGCGTCTTCGCCGACTAGGGGAGGCCCCGAGGACCCTCCAGCTGCCGATAGTCGACGATTCCGCTCGCGGGAATACGAAGGAAAGTTCGAGCAGCCTGCGCCCCCAGCTGCTCGACGACCAGTTCGAAGAGTTGTGCTGCTCCTCCTCGGGGCTGCTGCTGCTCCAGCATCGGACGCGGAGCCATTGTCGTTGTTTTAAAGCGATCGGGTGCCAAGAGGAGCGAGAGAGCTCCGCCGGTTTACAAAACAGCCGGAATTAGGTCTCGAAAAATATGCGGCTAAATATGGGAGGGGGATTACCGGTTGTTGCCTCTTCTGCATTGTTCGAGCTAAAACCCGTGGCCGGAAGGCAGGGCCGTTGTAGTTGTTCCGCCGGCGTTCGGCAACGCGCAACGATAGTTTTAGACGACCAACGCGGCTCGGACCGGGAACAGAGAGATAGAGAGTTCATTGTAGCGCGAATGTTCTGCGGTGATTGACGCAAACTGGAGTAGAAAACTGCTCGGTAACCGGCCGCGATTTGGCAAGCTGCTCGCGGCTTTTTGCCGCGACGCTGAATTATCATTGCTCGAGAAAATTTGGAGAGCGTGTGGTGGTCGGGGCTTTCCGCCGCTTCTCGCAAACCGTTCGGAAAATTGATCGTGTTCCGGCTGTGCGTGTGTGTGTTTTCCTGGGATTCGCCGAGGGTATTATACCGCGGAGTCCTGTTTGCAGGTCAAGGACCTCCGGACCACGCCAAAGGGTACCCGCTTGCGACGCAACCCGCCGCGACTCGATGTTCGCTTTACGACGATTCCTGTAAATTCTCCCCGATTGTACCTCGGCTCGCGAACAAAAATGGACAACTTGGGAAGAGGAGACGCGATTATTGGAGACCTCGCGGCTCGATTTTGTCGTCGCCGATCGTCGGCTTAACGGTTCCAAAACACGAAGATTCGACGCGATGAACTGTCGGCGGAATTGTTAAATATTGCTTATACTTATAGTACTATTATAATATTATTACTAATAATATTAATTTAATCTAATTGATAATGTAATTAATATAAATATAGTAATTATAATTATAATTAATATAAATAATTGATATAAATATGGTAATTACAAATATAATTAATATAATTAATAAATATAATTAATAATATTACTATTAATGATACTATATACTACTATTATACTATATTAATATCTTTTCATTCGATTAATCCCTTTTGTGGTCGAAGCTATTTTAATTCGAAATCCGAAACATGTTTCCCGATCTAGGGTATTTCCATTTTATACGATTTTCAAGTACATTAATTGCAATTTTAACGGTTCTTTAAACATAAACGAATCTGATACAGTTAGAATTATTTTCAAAAATAATGTAACAATTTTTAGTGCCTGAGAATCGCCATTCGAGTACAAAGGGTTAAATATCCTTCTAAGACCAAATCTGATTAAAGAATGTTTCATACGAAAGTTTCTTCTTTCCTCGCATGGAATAAAAATCCGTGAATAAAAATATAGATTTCCATTTGAAGGAACAAAATTGCTCCCCAAATAATCTTCAAAGCGATCGACAAAGAAGCAACAAGAAAAATAGTTGCGTTCCCCCTTGAAATCGAGTAACTTTTGCATGCAACATTGTTCCCGAAAATGTGTTGCTTCTGCAACAATGACAAGATCAGAATCGCAGGAAACTTCCTACGATTTTTATTATAATATATGCTCGAACGAGGAGAAGTTCGTACAAGAATATCAGAAGAAAACGTTTCTACAGTGTCAGGAATTGAAGAAGACACAGTTTCGGTGGTTCTAGCGAAAATTCTATTCTACTTAAATGCTGTCGAAAAAAATAAAATCTTCTTCGAAAATCTTCCGAAGAAAAAATGTGACGCCGAGAGTCCTGACCGAGCTTTCGAGTCGTTTTCAGCCGGTTCGAGCGTGGGAGGAGCGAAATAAAAGATTCGGAGGCGAATCCGCGTGAACGATCCGGTTACAATGGCGCGCAGGGTTTCCTCATTTTCACGGGCCGGCGGCTCCCGAATCGGATCAATGGGACCAAATTACTTTTCCATTAGCAGGCGTCTTCGAATATTTCTCCGCTGGCTGGTCAGTCGGTCGACGATCGGGACAGGCGAGGCTCGACACGCTACCGATATCCTGTGCTCCGATCCGCGCTCCGACGAACCTCCGATCGTTTACCGAACTGCCACGGATTTCGGGACAAGCGGCGGATATTAACGTCGCTCTCGGTTCTTCCCCGGTCCATCGCGTCGCTGTCCGAACTCGAAGCATCCGATAATCATTTATTTAACCGGGCGACACGGTTTCGTAAATTGGATCCGCGTCCGCGAACGAACGTCCGCCGACCGGCGCACGTGTATACGAGGAAACAGGAAACCGGACGGCGGGAAATAAATTAGTGCAAAGATACAGTAATCGTTCGTCGTTATTATTTATTTATTTATTCGCGGCGTG